TTTATATCTTTTTATATCTTTTATAAAATTTGCTTTCTTGCTCTACTTCTTCTAGTTCCCAGAATTTCTTTATTTGTTTGTCCATTTCCTCTCTATATATCATACTACACACTTCGAAATTCCTTGATTTCTTTCTTGTGCAATTCTTGACACTATACATCATAATTTTGTATTTTGGATGAGTAGTCAGTTATTTATTCGGTAAATTCCATCTGTCAATATGCTACTGGATTCCTTTACCCATAATAATATGCCTATCTCTATCTTCCCTACCTTTGGGTATCGCTGATCTGTTAACAAGACGCTCCATCTTCATCATCCAAAGCACCCAGTTCTTCATTTATGGATGCATCCGTTACTAATGTATTTATTTTCTTCATATGTTCTTTAAATTTCCTGCATTTCATTGTCTTTCCACATATAATTTTTTGTTTTCTTATTTGTATGTTTCTCTTATTTATCTTTAATTGTAGGTGATTTACCTTTTTTAGGGCTCTACCGTATTCCTCTAACAATGTTTTCCCTTCTATGTATAGTTTTTAAATCTGTTCCTGGTATTCTGTTTTAAAATATTTATTTTCTGTTGTACACCCATCTAGTAGTTTGCAGTGATTGTTCTTAAATTTCTCACAATTTTCATCTAATGCCTCCGACCTGGTCTTTCTATTTTAGGGTCGTTCTACATATTCGTCGTTACCCTGGCGATCTCTTCACCAATCGTTGATTGATGAGTGTACAATTGTTTTTCCATCGTCGTTTTTTAGGTAATGATATTATTTATACGTTAATATTTATTAATTATTTAAAATATAAGCTAGTTATTAGTTAATCAAGGTATTAGGTACTTAATATAGTTGTATATTCTTCTTATTTATCAATCTAATTTATGCCAACTTGCAAGGTCAGTTTTGTTCGTAAGTGTGTTCGTACGTATTAAAAATATTTGATTGTTCAGCTTTATTATGGAAAATAGCAAATATTTAAGTTGTAAATAAAGTTTTTTTGATATCTTTAACTTTACCATGAACTTGAACCATTTTTAATTATTCAAACTAATTCAAATGTTTGAAATATTACATAGTTGGGCGCTTAGTAGTTGAATGGGATATTACTTTTATTTATTATTTTTTCTTGTGTAGGTCAGTTATGTTTAAAAGCATACAGCAAGTAAATACGTATATACTAATTATTAATTTGAATAAGATGATATATGTTGCACTGTTTAGAGAATAAATGAAATATTCAAAGACTTAATTTTAAATTGGCTTGATGCTCATTGGATTAAATGCTGCTAACAAGTGGATCGATTATCTGCTTATAGCTGTATCGAGTGTCTGGATGATAATGCTGATAACAACTGGATTGATTTGCTACTAATAGCTGGATCAAGTGTCTGGATGCTAATGATTGTAACAACGTGATCGATTGGCTGCTAATAGCTAAATGGATTTATTTTCTTTTTCACCGGGTTTAGTGTCTGGTCTGGGTCTTGGCGTTGGTAAAGTGAATTGTAGTTTTAGATCGCTATGTGGCTTGTCTTTTGTTCTATCAGAGGCTTACTACGATAAAGTACGATGTTTTTTTTTTTGCTTGAATGACTGTGTGTGAATGTCTTGTATCAGGCACGAATTAGTTATTCTTATAATACATTAACGAATTAAAGTTCTGGATTAAAGTAAAACCACCAAACCCAATTGACCGTTTATTGACATGAACCCGGTGAATAATGACTTGAGGCATTAGGACCTGTGGCTTTTATTTGACGGACTCCGTAATTCCCTCATTTGTTATGCGCCAAACAAATAATTGTTACAGTTTACATAAACAAGTGGGCCACACATGCAACAATAATATTTAAGAGAATTACCGCTCTTCACATGAGGCAATAAAATGCATTGTTTAATAATATTAAACACTCTGTAAAACCAAATATGCTTGTATGGATTAGATGTTTACTGTGGTTTGAACTGGTTTTTCTGGTTTATTTTTTTATTCTTAGCGTTCCAATTTGGTAATCCTCAAGCAACTTTTCCACAAGTGAAACTGATGTAAATCAGTTTACGCGTGAACCACAAATGTGTTTGTACAATCTTAAAACTACATCACTAGGGTTGTTTGAAAATTTATATGGGCCATCGGGTTGGGATTTCAGGTAGACTTTCATTTTTGAAGTATAAAAAACTTTTGAATCACAAACTGCTTGAATCTGTATTTATTAGGTTTTGACAGAATGTACCCACGGAACGAACATTAACCTCTGAAAGAAGGTAGCATCTCATTAATGGTAATAAATTCTAAATGATTATAACCATTTTGATATTTTTTTACGAACTGGTCAAACATCACACGAATGGCAGCTAGTTTGTCAATTTTTGATCGCTTGGTACGTGCTTTCTAAACATCAAACCAAACGCAATAAACAAAAAATCGGAATATTTGTTTCATTATAAGATCAAAAATTTCTATACCATAACCGTTTTTTCTTCAAAGATCTTCTCCGCTGGCTCGATTACAGTGAAGTAGCCTAGATAAATACTAAAGTCCTATAAGAGGCTACGTATCTGTTTGTATTTTCTGTCATGATACCAATAATCGTGAAAATCAAGAAAAATTTCTTAATGTCGATTTTAAATCGTCCATTAAATTTTAGTAATTTTTGTAGGCCCTTGTGAGCGAATTATTATGTTACTTTTTTTCTAGTGGTTTTATAAAGGATGTTTCGTACAGTGAGTTGTACGGTTCTTACCTTAAACAATAAAAAATTAGCATTACTTGCTAAATTTAAACGGAAAGTGTGGACGGATGTGAAACAACCGCGCTAGAGCAGTTCCGGTTACCACTTGACTCTCTGGAATATGTCGGAACCTCTTCTGGGTAGTTTAGAGACCAGGAATGGATGAACTGCTTTAGCGACCAAGAAGCAGTCTCCCCAAGCTCGGGTGTGTGGTAAGTGTGCTGATGGCTGAGTGGTAACAGCCGTTAGCACAATTACCCCACAGCACAGCAATCACAGCAGTCAGCACAGTATGTTTGTGGTTATGAACGATCACCTTGAAAAACCAGGCGTGAACCACTTTTCCCTAGCTACTCGTGAAAACAACATAAATGTACATAATAAAAAACCAAAAACCAAAACAAAATCATTAAGCTGGACCAAAACGTTCACCTCAGCCTGAAGCAGCAGTAAACCTTGCGTTAGTGGCGTAACTAAGAATGGCATATTTGGAATTATTATTTATAGAAATATAATTAGTACAGTGCAATTATCAAGATAAATTTAAAAAAATATTACAACAAAACTTTATTTTCAAGTAAAAGAGAATACATTAACATAACCTCATTTTGATGGTAGTTTATACAGATTTTTTTTAAATGGTCACCACAAACCCATTTTCCACATTTGAAACAGAATTTTCTGATGGTTTTATCGTGAACCATTCCACATACATAACATCATAAGCCGGATTTATAAACGGACATAAACATAATTTTAGTCTTTAACCATAATCTTATTATATAAGCATAATGTTAAAAGTTAATAAATAAATGTACCCATTTAAAAGCATCCATAATACATAAGACATAAATTTAGTCCTTAAAACGTGACCTTGAAAGTTGGTAACTTTCAACATTTATGAATTAAGTATTAAACATTATGGAATTGTTGGAATATGCGCATGCGTTGGTAGAATAATCTGCAGTTTCCTCCTATACATAACCCTACTATTTTAATTTAATGTTTTTGGAGCGAATTCAACCACATATTTATTTATTTCACTTTTCTATGAATCTAAGGACCAGAAAAAATTCTTCATGCTCTATAAAAATTTGGTTAGGTTTGTATTTTCTGAAGTAGTTCTTAAATATTATGGTTATGTATTATCTCTAGTTATAAACCAATCTTAAATCTTATGAATTATGATTGTGGTTGAAGTTATGTTTATGACTTATGATTATGTACTATGTCCGTTTATAAACCTGCCTTTACTCAGACTGGATTATGACCAGCTTAGGTTATTCGAACAAAGCATCGCAAAATTTGTATGGAATGCAAAATATGGAAGGCAACCGCATATACGTATTTCTGACTATTGGTCGTCTTCAGTACGATGCAGCCAAGTTAGAAAATGAGCATATTAATTTGGGAAAGGATCACTACAGGTACAATGCAAACAATATGTGGTAATAGAGTTATTTGGGAATACCTTAATGCTTTCCAGGGCAATAACTAATACCAACCACGGAGGAAGCTACAGCTACTTGGGCAAAGGAATGCCAATCGATAAAACGTTTAAAACAAATAAAAACGAATAACGCGAGTGAATAATAAAAGTAAAAAGTAATGGCATGTCTCGCAAAACAAAAAACCAAAAATGGTATAACAAATGGTATATAGATGGAAGGCAACCGTATATACATATTTCTTACGTAAATAAAAGGCAGATATCGAGTACAGTTTTTATTAAATCTTGCCTAAGTACTAAAATATCATAAGAAATAAATAAAACATTAACACAACACTACACAAAGACAAACAAAGCTATATATTGGGTGGCATCAGTAGAGAGAATGAGAATGGAGAGAATTCTCTCTCCTGAGTGACAAATTAACATTGGCTATGTTAATTAACCAATATTAACCCATAATTAAACCATAATTAACCAACCCAGCAAACAAAATATTTACCTACCTAATTTACTAGACAGTTAGGACCATGATTAGTGAACCGAGAATAAAATTGGTAACTTAAATTCAAATAAACAATTTATTCTTGGAATTATGTTTTATTTCAAATAATATTATGACAGTAAGCTAATGGAAAAATAGATTATCGTTATTTGCTCAATGACATTAATCTATTTTTCCATTAACATACTCTAATATTATTATTGGAAATAAACTGCAATTCCAAAAATAAATTCTTTATTTGAATTTTATAATATTATTATAATTTCATTATACATAACAAAATTGTTAGCATAAAATTGTATTCGTTTCAGAGTGCACATGAAAAATGGAGGAAACGTCCATCCAAAAATTCTACAAAAACACCAATGTTTTTATCACAGGCGGTACTGGTTTTATGGGAAAGATCCTTATAGAAAGATTACTTAGATCGACGCAGATAGAAACACTCTACCTACTTGTCAGAAATAAGAAGGGGAAGAATATTCATGTTCGAATTGATGAACTATTTGATGATGTGGCAAGTATTATAATTTAATCCAATATACGAATATTAACTGATACATAAATATTTTTGAACTAAATAGTTTTAAGTTTTGCAATTATTTTCCCAATAAATTGTAAAAATTCAATTGTTTTGAAAACGATGACTGCCGAATTGACTTCAAACTAAAGTGGCGGAGTTAACTTTTAACCATCAAAGCTGCATTCCACTTAAAAACAGTTTCCTTATTGATAAATGTTCTTACAAAATGATAAATAAAGTTACTTCGCTCTAACTAACAAAGCTCTGAAGCACCGTTTTTAATCGACCGTTATGAAACGCAGCAGTTAACTTAAACACAGTTTTCTTAATGATAAATGTTTATACAAAATGATGAATGAAGTTACCTCTACTATACTTATTTTGGTATTTCACACAATTTCAATTTACTATCGACCACAACGATTTTTGTGTGTTTTTCTAGCAAAATTCCAAATTTGGATGGCCACAGCGCGTTAATATTATATATATTATATATATTATATATTATATATATTATATATATTATATATATTATATATATTATATATATTATATATATTATATATATTATATATATTATATATATTAATATACAAAAAAGAGATTTTTCAGTTGGTTTAAAAATTTCCCAATATTGGCACTTAAATCCCTATAACTTGTAAACTAATATCTAAATTTTGACAGGTAACGTTTTAAGGATAGTTTTTAATATCATATAAATTTGTTCTTAATGGCGCCATCGGTATGTCATTTTGTGTATTGCATCTTGTGATTTACAACTAATTAATTAGATAACACAAAACAAGCGTAAAACTGTTAAGTAAACCTTTGTTTTCTAAGTTTTGCATAGAATACTCGTTATGTTAAAGCAAGAGCCTTTTTTTATTGCCATAGATCCCAATGTAGGATCACTCTGTTCATAACGTAGTTAATAAAACTTACATTTGTACATACATTTAAACTTGTACAATGTACAATACATTGATAATTAGTTAAAAGTCAAAATGTATCCTTCTTCTTCAAGTGCCATCTTCGTTCCGAAGGTTGGCGATCATCAGGGCTATACGTATTTTCGAAACTGCTGACCGAAACAATTCGTTGTTGCTACAACTATACCATTCCCGTAGATTCTTTAGCCAGGAGTTTCGTCTTCTTCCTATGGACCTTTTTCCTGCTATTTTCCCTTGCATAATTATTCGAAGCAGTTCATATCTTTCGCCTCTTGTAATGTGGCCCAAGTATTGCAGTTTTCGTTTTTTGATTGTAAATATGACTTCCTTTTCTTTGTTCATTCTTCTCAAGACCTCGACATTTGTGACTCTCTCGGTCCATGATATTCTCAATATCCTTAAATGTTTATGTATCCTTATGTATCCAATGTATCCAATGTATCCTTAAATGTTTTTAATTTAATAAATAGTTATAAGTGCAGTTGAACCCTCTCCCGGTAAACAATAGATATTTGTCACATTATCGAAATCACCAAATAACTTTCAAATCAACAGTTTAATAATTTGTTAGTAAAAGTGAAAGTGCAATATCTACCGTCGGGGTATGTGTTCGCAAATTTTAATTTAACAGTATTTCATCAAATAGCTACAAAAAAAATTATTCACATCTGATTAAAAACAAAAAAAATAAAACAGTTGACAGTCGATTTTCTCATGAGAGAGAACCAACTACATAAAAGGAGAAACATTTAATCATCATTAAATTTAATTCCTTGCACCAAAAATGTTCCCGACCGGGAATGAACCTGGATTAAATCTCAACAAGCAGACTAATCCAATCGACCAACAACAATGCCAGGGATTTAAACATCATACATACTTCTACAAAACCCAAATTCAATGTTCTACAAGAACCACAGACCGATCGTAAGTAAACTGTCAACAACAACACTAATAACCATATATGAACTACTCAATGAACATATCAGAGATATCAATCGATATCTATGGAGTGACCGACTACATGGCAATGATTAACTCACTGACAGGGATAACCCCCGCTGAAACTTATTATACAAAACACTCCTAGATAATGTAGTAAAAATAAACGCCTTAAGTCCAGAAACGTAAGGAAACTAGTAAGCTATATGAGAGAAAAGAACATTGTATTCCACAGTTACCAACTTCAACAGGATAGAGTATATAGATTTGTAGTAAGAGGACTCCATCACACAATTAATACAGATGATATGAAAACTGATCTTGCGAAAACAAAAAACAGGCCAAAAGTATTAGTAACAAAATCAATATTAAACTAGACTAACAAAATAACCTTTTCCACTATTCCTCATCGATCTTCAACCCAACACAAATAATAAAAAAGCATACGAAATAGAATTTCTATTAAACTCAAAAATTAACGTAGAGTCTCCAAGATAAAGGAACAGTATAATCCAATGTAAGTAAAACACATAAAAAATACCCAGATTACAATACAGCGTACAACCCAAAAATCACAGTGCAGCAGCCAATCACATATAAAGGTAGTTATTCCCAAGTCGCTTCAAGAAATCTCGAAAGACAAAATGAAAACAGTAATAATAAAGAGATAACTACGCCAATTTTAGACTTTTTAAATGAATTTAAACTGTTATTAAATCAGTTGCTTAATCAGATCAGCATGATAAAATCAACATGCTAACAAAAGTCATAAGCAAAATATCAAATTAATGGCTAAGCAAATAAAAATAGCAGCCTGAAACGTCAATGGCCTAGCAAAGTTAGCAAAAGTAAAAAAGTTTTAAAAGTTAATCACTTGTCAAAATTCCATTTTACACAACATATTTTACCCACTATCCCGAAGTAACAGCCCATGCAGGATTGGCAATCATGGTCAGATCATCTATTAAACATAACATTTTACAAAGTTATTCCACATTTAAAATTCAGAGCACTTCAAGCAGAATAGAAACCTTTTTCTGGCCATTGATTGTCGCAGCTATTTATTCACCTCTTAGACATGATATCCTAGTTGAAGAATACGACATCTTCTTCCAAATCCTTGGCTAATACTCCCTAGTAACAGGCGATTGGAATGTCAAAAATGCTCTATAGGGATCACGACGATCTACAACGAAAGGTAGAAACCTACATCGATCAATACAGAACACAATTCGTTCATTTTATCCACTGGACAATTAACATACTAGCCAGCAGATAACAAGAAAATTTCGGATTTTCTAGATTTTGCAATATTTAAAGGTTTACCTAACACGCGTTTAAAAATAGATCCTAGTTTTGACCTAAATTCAGACCATAGCGCCATATGAATAGTATTAAGTACAACTGTAATATACAATCAACAGCCATTAAGGTTATCTAACAAAAAAACAAACTGGGAAAAATTAAAAAAAAAACATTAACCAGAATATAACGTTAGATCACCGAATAAAAGAATCTGATGAGCTGGAATTTGCAGTACAAAAGCTAACGACTGTAATACAAAACGCTGCTTGGAAATCTACTTCCGTAACTAAAAAGGGTAGTCCTGAAGACAACAATGTGCCAATACATATCAAACAAATTTTAACTGAAAAAAGAGAGCGCTTGCAAAATTTCAAATGCCCCGACGACGCAGCTAAATAGACTAACATACCAGCCAATGCTAGCGTTAATCAACATTAACACTTCCAATTTTTATATTAACAATCTCTCTACAGATGACCACTCTATATGAAGAGGAACTAAGAAATTCAAGAAACCAACACTACCAATTCATCCAATAAGAAAACCTGATAGAAGTTGGGCTCAGGCTGACAATAAAGAGCTAATGTATTTGCAGAATATTTAGAAAATGTATTTACTCCAAATTTAGGTCAAAACATAAATGATGATTCAGTTATCGAATATCTAGATGCAACCTGCCAACTATCACCTCCAATCAAAGCATTCTTTCTATTCGAGGTTCGCAGAATAATAATAAATACCAACTCTCACAAAGGCCTAGCATACGATTTAATAGATGAAAGAATCCTAAAACGTCTACCTAGGAAAGCAGTTCTCATACTTACTATTATCTGTAATAGAATGCTACAGTTAAGCCTTTTTTCAATACAGTAAAATGCTCATACTATATTGACTAAGAAGCCAGGTAAATTGCTCACAAAACCATCTTCCTATCATCCGATAAGCTTGTTACCCTTGATATCTAAGATATTTGAAAGACTCCTGCCAAATAGAGTAAGCGAAACTGTACAATTCAAGAACATATTATCCGAACACCAGTTTGGTTTCCGTCAAAAATATTCAACAATCTAACAGTGTTATAGAATAGTAAATAAAATCAAGAAAAGTTTGGAAGAAATGCCTCAGTATTTCCCGATATTCAGCAGGCCTTTGATAAAGTCTGGCACAACGGTTTACGATATAAATTGAAATCTTTACTGTCAAGCGAAATGTACATTACCCTGAAGTCCTGTATTAATGAACGTTCGTTCCAAGTAAAAAATCAATATTGATTTCTTAACCTACCACTCAATTAAATCCGGAGTTCCCCAGAAAAGTGCCCTTGGTTCCTTATTGTATTTGATCTTTACTGCTGACATACCTATTACAGATGACTCATGATACGTCGTATTAGTCGTTTTAGTTTTAAACAAAGACCCAGCCATAGCGTCTGAAAAGCTGCAAAATTACTTGCATACCTTAGAGAATTGGTTGACAATATGGAAAATTAAATTCAATAACAAAAAATAAGCCCAAATCACATTTAACGCAAGAATACTTGTTCACAATACTCGGCAAGGGAAGTAATTTATCAAGCTGTTTGCATTGCAAGTTTTAGAAAGCACAGTGGGAAAAAATTTGAATTCGGTTTCGCCAGGTAGAAATCGTATAATTTCTCTTTTTGTTATTAGATGGCGTAGTTACGTCCGTAAATAGTTATTTTGATAACTATTGGTCTAATACGGGGTAGATTTTGTTTCGATTCAGAGCAGTTGCTATACCGCTCTGAGGAGACCTAAAGAGGTCGAAATACGTATA